TATATTCGCGGGGGCGCGCCGCGCGTGGGTTGTTTTGTCGTCGGGGGGAGGCGGGAGCGCGACGGCCGCGGAAACGACGGCGGGCGGCGGCAGGTGTCACCCGGGCGGACGGAGGAGGCGAAGCGAGGGTAGCGTGACCGCGACCGGGTGCGCGTGGGCAGTGGATTGGGTTGCCGTGCCGTGTCCCCGGTGCGGAACGAGAGGCGGAGCGCGCTACGAATTCAGTCAACTTTGCTGCAACTCGAACATCTGTAAGGTTGTGAAATGCCGTTCGGTTCACTGAACCTACACCTACAGGATGTATCAAGTCACGTTTTAGTATTAGGTACATCCTTATCTAGACGAATGTAATACAAGAATTTCGGGACGGAGGAATTACTTATCAAATCATCCAGATGGTTTCCTGGTTAACGCTACAAAATTATCCACCACCGGATTAGGAGCCGGCATTACTTTTCTTGGCAAGAGATTAGTAGTGACTGGCTGGTCGACTGTGAGTCCATATATAAACCTACAACGTCTTAGCATCTTCTTTGCCCTCGATCTCCTTCCCAGGCACGTCATCGGTTGTTTCCTTCAAAACCCCGCGTTTTCTTTCTAACCAGAGTCATCTGCAGCCCGCCGCGGCCGCCGCTGCTGGCTGGGAGCCACTGCTGGCGTTCGCCGAGGCCGCGTTGTTCGAAAGGGCCTCGCTGCCCTGGCCCTTGTTGATGGAGGCCTCGGCGTCCTTGCCGGGAAGTGGCGCGGCGTCGGAGGTCTTGGAGGCGTGCCGGTTGCTCCTGAACCGGGTCCTCAGCTTGCTGAAGGGGCGCCAGTGCCACCGGTTCTGCGACTTTATCTGGCCCATCAGCTTCTGCTGCTCCCTCCGGACGATCCTCCGGGTGTACCAGGCTCCGCCGCGCCACCCCAGGGCGTACCTGAAAGTCACACAAGGTTGGCAGGCTTCATCGTTCAGGTTTAAAAGATGATAGCACTGATAATTCAGCGTTGGTGTCAGAATGGATTCTGAGGTTCAGGGCAGAGACCAGGACCACCTATGTGCACCACTCACTCGCAATTAATTCAAGGGAACTGAGGCGTGACAGCAAGTTTAGCATGTTTTTTTCAAAATTCGTTGAATATGCAGAATCATGGCAAAACTATGTCATCTGTGCATTTACCAGTAATGCACTTAGTTGGAGCAGAGTATTCGACTAAATAAATGTGCGTGAACTACTACACTTTTGCCTTTATGCATATCCAGGCGGTGCCAAGTTGGAGCAGGGTATTCAAAACCAGATGCGATATTAAATACATTCTTTGCACAAAATTAAAACTCTCAAAAGCAATCAATAAAATAACCCAAAGTAAATAGCCTATGTCCAGCACTCACTCTTAATTATTTCAAAATGTACTCAGATGTAACAGGAACTTTAGCAGGGGTTTCGATTATGGAGTTCCTTTGGAACATATACAGAAGATCACAATAAAACTATCTCGTTTGTGCATGACCCAGCAATGTGTACAGTTGGAGCAGGGTATTCAACTAAATATGTGGCAGCATGAGGGCTACACTAAGTTGAAGCAGGGTAATAGAAAACAAGCTGTGATATTAAATACTATCTCTGCAGAAATGAAAAATAAACTTGAAAGCAACCGATAAAATAACATAAAAGTAAATAGGCACTCACATCCTAACTCAGTATGTCAGTGTTACAGTTTATATGAACATACGATTCTACTCCCTCCATCCGGAAATACTTGTCATTGGAATGGATGTATCTAGATGTATTTTAGTTCTAGATACATCCATTTTCATCTATTTTGATGACAAGTATTTCCGGACGGAGGGAGTATGATTGATGGAGAGTTGAGGCATGCTGATCAGCATTGACTGCATTAATATGAGCATACAGAGCATATAAAAGCTTGACAGTGAAACCTTAGTATTTAGAGAGTAAGTAGCATATGCCTGGTGCTACCAATACATATAGTATTGAAAAAGGTTTGGATCACAGTAGTATATATATTAAGAACAGCATGAACATACCCAACAACCGTAGTTGTCAATGCAGTGGCTATACAAGCTGAAGTGCTAATATTATAGGAGGTAACAATCTTTTTGATCTCATCATGTTCAACTTTGTGGGTGTTCCTCAACTGTTCAGAAAATAAAAGAGAAGAAATATATCAAAGTTTGTCCAGAGTACATATTCAGTGAAACAAATAAATATTGAAAGTACATCAGGTAGTCGATCCGCCGTCTAGAATGAAACAGGAAATGGAAGCAGATGTTTCTAACTGTATGAAAGTTGTGACCATCAGAGTGTAAAGGTACTGTTATAAACACACCATAACTCATCACAAATGTTAAATATCATCACCTCAAATTTCTTTTAAAAAAAGATGAAACAAACAACAAAATACATGCTAATCTCATCATCAGAAAACATGAAAGCATGTTGCACTGAATTGACAAGGTAAGACATATGCACACAGGGTTCTGATTGTCTTATGCCAATAAGCTACCCTGGAGCCATCTTGAACTTCTGTCAAGAGTCTAACTGCCTATTAGCATTTCTATAAGTCGTGCACCGAGAAATGCACATTACAAAAGGAGAAGAATGTAACCCATTCACAAAACAAATAACCATGACATTAACAGACTATCTCCTAAATTGCTTACAGATTCCTCAATGGAATGAAGCCTCTTGTCGATCTTTGTTTGCTGCATATGACGAAGAGAGTAACCTATAACAAGAAATTAAAAATATATTAGAAACTGTAAATCATCCAAAGAGAGAATTACCAAGTAACTTAAGAAACAGTACAGTGTACAGCATAATGGCATATGCTCCACTCGGCATGCATTACCAACATGAACAAAAGCAGCACATAAAGCGGACTTCCTTTGTTAATTGCAGTGCACGAAAAGGGGCCTATCATCAGTTGAAAAAAGGCAAGTAGTCTGACTTCAAATTAAGCACGCATATCGGAATTACTTGACATTTACTAGTCAGGTAAGGGGCAAAAGTAGTTCCACGTCTCAACTAAACTGAGGATCACCAAAGAATCCAACATTTCAAGTGAAATACTCCAGTAAAGTAATTGCTACTGTACTAGTGCGCAGCGATTGGGGAGAAAAACTCATCAATTAGATTGTAACTTGGTGCACTTGCATTCAGTCACCACCACCAATGGGGCATTCTGAAACAAAATTGCTCTACTGCAGCTGTGGTGCCAATTGAGGTGTGCCCTATGGTCTTACATAAGCCAAACAGACTAATTAGGGTTTAGCAGCAAGCAGTTGCACAACTCTCTCTCCCTCAGATAGTCAGATACATCAATTAAAACAACTAAATCAATCAAACAAGCCAACGACACACTCTGAACCCGAGAACAGCATACAGAGTTTACGAACTGCGTGAGAGAGCAGGGGAATGAACAGGGGCGTACCGGCCCAGGCCGTGAGGACGGAGGCGATGGAGGTGCCGACGGTGAAGACGACGCGGTGGCTCTCGAACACTTCCTGCACGGCACGGACCGCGTCGGGGGATCAAAACCAGATCACGAGAGGCGCGCGGGTCGGGGGGGCGTCAGGGATGGGGTTAATTTGATTTGATCTGGGCGGGGCG